ATATTGAACCCAGCAAAACTCATGTTGAAATGGTTTGTATGCTAAGCTCATCAATCGATTTTTTAGGGGAAAAAGTTTATATAATCAGTGAAACATGGTTTTCTAATTATATTTTAGCAAATTATGTACATACATTATAACATTTCATTTCATTTCATACAACATTAACATTTCATATTAAATAATTTCAATCATAGAAATCGTGGAAGGGCGCAGGTTCTGAAAAGATGTTTTTGAAAATTTTTTTCTCAGTCTGGGCACAAGGTATATATAAATGAATAACAAAATAAATGTTATATATAAAAATATATAAAAGATATATGTATATATAAAAATTTTTCTAAGTCTGGGCACAGGGTACAGTATATACAGTATAAATTTTTCAAAAACATCTTTTCAGAACCTGCGCCCTTCCACAATTTCTATGATTGAAATTATTTAATATGAAATGTTAAAATACAGAACAATTAACTCATAGCCATAAATAATACAGTACTTAAAGCTCGAAATACTTCCTAATAGTAGAAGAACGAATGAACTGAAGGAAGGTTTAATATTCTGCTCAAACGTTTCCAGGTCAAGATCATCCATTATTTAAAAAAAAAGCATAGGAATTTTTTGTTTCAAATTTTCGTTGTGTAGATGAGCATTGTTTTTTTTCGTTTCTACATTTCGGGCACTAGATTTTTCAAAAATATCCTGGCACGCACTGCTGCTGTGGAAGGGTTAAACAGTGGTGCCCAACTCAGAAGTGGTCAAGGGCCACATTCAAACAGTAAAGCAGTTTGCGGGCCAGAATGGAAAAAATGCACAAAAAGTGCTATACAGTAAATTGGGTAATTCATTAATTTCTGGGGTGGTTGAAATCATTCCATTTGTCTAACATGAAGTTCAAGGCATTCAAAACTTTGAATAAAATGTTTTTTCCTCTGCAAACTTGTTGCTGCATTTTTACTAATACAGTTCAAGTTGTACCTGCATGACTGAATTTTTGTTGATGGAATTA